CCCAGGCCTTCCTCCAAGCTCACCTGGGGACACCTGCACGGTTCTCGCCCCGTGACAGGTAAAAACCGGGCCCCAGGGAGGATTCGACTCCAAACTCCAATTCGGCCCTTGCCTTTCGTAAAAGCCTCTAGAAGCCGCAAGCCGCACCCGCGGGACGGTCTGGCCTTGCCCCTCCATTCCGTTACCCTGGAGACCAGCCCCATCCTTCCCTGTGACATTTCTAATCCTAAACATGTTGCCTAGGAAACAGGCCCATCCTTCCATTTCCCTAAAGACTAGGGACCAGGCCTACCCTATCCTGTTACCTAGGAGACCAGTTCTATCCTCCTGAGTTACCTTGGACACCAGATACAACCTCCTTTGTCACTTAAAAGATAATTAAATACTCTCCCTATTCCTGAAAAATACGAATTCTGCCTTCTCTAGTTACCTGGGAGACTAGCCCCGCTCTCCTGTTCCCCTGGATATCAGGTCCTCCCTCCAACCCTCAAACAACACCAATCTCCTAGGACAGCGATGGCAAACCTATGACACGCGTGTCAGAGGTGACATGCAAACTCATTTTTTGGGTTGATTTTTCTTTGTTAAATGGCATTTAAATATATGGGAGAGAAAGGGCATCATTAGTCAGACCCGCAGCCCTGCCCGTCGTGCCCACGGGGCACCCAGGGGCCAGGAGTCTCGCTAGGGCCCCAACACTGCGCCGCCAGAAGACGGCCGGCTTGCATGGGACGGGACCCTGTACCCCACCTCCTAGGTCACTGCCGCAGCCCCAGTTTGCCCAGTAGACCTGCAGGAACTCCCCAGTCCCCTAGCAGCTCCCTTCCCGCCGCTGCTGGGCCACCTGACCTTCCCAGGCCCAGGAGTTAGAGTCCTGGCCCCCGACCTAGGCCTCACCCGGCAGGTCAATGATAAGCCAGCCGTCCACTTCATCCTCCTCCGAGACGAAGGCTCGGGGGCAGTCGAGGTCCTCAGGGGGCGGGGGGTTGCGGAAGAACATGCTGGTGAGGCGCTGGAACATGTTGGGAGAGTGAAGCGGCCTCGCGGGGGCGCTCTAAAGCAGTGCAAAAACCTGGGAGGCGTAGAGAGGCGTCAGTCACCACTGACAGAAGTCTACCCCTGCCCCAGTCCCCAGACCAGATCAGAGCACAGCAGGGAGGTGTGGGGAAGACTTGCAGGGTGTGGGCTTTCCGGTAGGTCAGCCTGCTTTCAGATTTTTCTATTTCCTGTGTCACCTTAGGAAGTAATTTAACTGATCTGTGCTTTAGTTTTCTCATCTGTCAAATGGCAATGAAAACAGTACCCTCCTCTTGACCTTTATAAGAATTAAATGAGCTAATAATAGTATTCTCCTCCAGGCTCTAAGAAGAATTAAAGGAGCCAAGCACAAAGAGCTTAGGACAGTATGTGGGCAGGGTAAGCATTCAATACATTAATCACCTTGTTATTATTAATATTACTGCATGCTCTAGGGACATGGAAAGACAAGGAAGGTTTCCAGAGGACTGGACATCCAAGCTGGATCTTGAAGGGTAAATAGGAGTTCTCCAAGCAAGGAAGAAATTGCCCAATGTTGTGATGATTTATCATCATCATAATATTGCTAACATTCATGTGCCAGGTACTCTACTAAGCACTTTACTTCTGTTACCTGATGTAATCCTCACAACAACTCTAGGAAGTGAGTATAATTATCATCCCTCTTTCACAGGTGAAGAAACTGAGGCTGAGAGACGTAAGGTAACTTGCCCAAAGTTTCACCGATCCTAAGACAAAGAGGTAGGATTTGAACCCATGTAGTCAGATGCCAGAGGCAGCACCATAATCACTATATTCCATTGCCTTTGCTGGGTGTCTGTCTGAATTAGGCATTTTTAACTTGGTGGCCAAAGGCCATGGTTCATGTGTATTTTTCTGGGAAGATGGACCTTGGTTTTCATCAGGATTTCCCAAACAGCACCTACTTGTGTGGGTTGAAAAGTGCTGGCTCGCAAAAATCTCACAGAACTGCTACCATGTGATTGCATGGACCTCCGTTCTGCCTGTGAAAATGAGCTTGGAAGATCCTATTCCCACAGGCCCTCCCCCTTCTTACCCCTCATTCCCAAGCCCATGCTCAAGGGCAATATCCCTGGCTAGGAAGAAGATCACATTGCCTGGCCCCAGGGAGACAACAGGTCAGAGGGAGGTGATAGTAGAGGGAGGGAGATATCACACCCCAAGAGCCCTTACGGATTAGCACTGAGGGTTAGACCAGGATTCAAGGCCTCAATCAGCCCTTCCCTGGGTGAAGATGAGGAAGGAGACCTCTTACTTCAGGAATGCAGACACCAAGGAGGTGGCTATAGGTCTGCTCCTCTTCCCACCTCAGCCTATCTCAGGACTAGACCTGGGCTTGGGGTACCCTCTGGATGTCCCTAAAGCTTCACCCTCCACATCTGCCCCCTGAAGATGATCAATAATTTTGCTATTGGGCCACTTGTCACCTTCCTTGAAGGATGTTTCCACACTTCCATTCCCTGAAGGCATTCTACTCTTACCGTTAACCCACCTGGGATATTTATGTGCTTGTGACTACCTCTCCTATTCCCTGGGTATGTTTTCACACTTGCCACAGAATCCCCTAAACTCCCTATCCTGAGCGTATTTCCACATATGCAGACCCACAGTAGGCTCCAGAAGGAAGTGCTCCCTGGGTGCTGGCTTCCCTGGTGGGAGATCTATGGGGATTATGAAAGGTTGAGCCATTCCAACTAGTACTGGCCCAGCACAAGCCACATATCCCAAACCACTTGTAGCCACAGGAAGGCATTAGTGACTCAGTTACCAAAAATCCAGAAAGTATGGCCCTTCCTGAAGGAAGGGAAGATTGGAGCCTTGATGAAGAACCCCCCCGCCCCCGGTTCTTTCCATTGAGAAGGTGAAGAAGTTAAGAACTCTTTCAGGGACTATCATATTCATCCAGTCCATTTCGCAACCTGAGGATTAGAGGACATAAGTCTCTCAGGGCAGGCCTAGCCCCAGGTCACTGAGCATCCAGTCCAGAGTGTACATAGAAAAACCTCAGTGCGAATAGTGCCCAAAAATACTCATTATGCAGAAGAGATAGGTCAGATGTGAGTCAGGCCTTGATCAAGTCACTGCTCCCCTCTGACCCCCCTGCCCACCTATAAAAGGGTGTGGGGTTCCTGACACCAAGGTTTATCATGCATTTTCCAGAGCACCCACTGTGTACCAGAGCCTGCTCTGAGCCTCCTCAAATTACAGACAGATTGAGATAAGAAGGCTGCGGTGGGGAGAGAGCTGCCTGCCCGAGGTCACACAGCAAGTCAGTGACAGAGCCAAGAGTAGCAGCAGCAGCAGGCAGCCAGTGCCCGCCCCTCTCATGACCACTGCGGAGCCTCCTGGGTTTTCTTTCCCAGCCCTGCCAGCTTCCTGGTTCTCACATTCCCAGCCCTGCTCCAGGGAGAACCATTCCCTTTAATAACTGCAGCAGCTGTGCCCAGAATAGCACTTGAGCCCCAAGCCACCTCTACCCTAGCCCATCCTTGAGCAAAGCCCATCCAACTGTGGCCCATCCACTTAAAAAGTCAGAAGCTCTCTTCTCCTGCCCTTTCTCCTGCCCCTCTCCATGAGCAGAGAGGGGCAGCACAAATCTTACATTCACCAGCACTAAGCCAGGTCAGGTCCTTCTACCTGATAACTCTGGGTGTTGGGGAGGTGATGAAGGGCCAAGCTCTCACCCCCACCCCCCATCCCCACTCCAACATCAGTTCTGGAGATGCCCTGATACAGCTAATAATTCTGGTGGTCAAAACAGCTGGGAGACAGCAATTTTATTGGGCTCTGGGGCTCCAAGGTACAAAGTGAGGGTCAGAGCCACAAAATGGGACCCAATCTCCAAAGAATCCCTGGAAAAAGACCCAGAAGTAAGGAGCCCTAGGAGCCCTATCAAATCTGGATGGTACAGTGTGTTCTCAGTGATAGGAGGATGTGTAACTTTTCTTGTATTGAGTTCCTACTAGGCATGTGCCCATGGCTAATGCATCTGTCAGTCACTCAGTAGGCCTGACTCTAATTGGCTGCATGACCAGGAATAATCCACTTCCCTTCTCTGGGCCTCAATTTCCCCGTCTGTGAAAGGGGATCTAAGAGCCCAAACTAGTTTGGGGGCTGGGAGTGAAATCAGATAAAGCCCACATACACGTCAGAGATTAAGAGGATGTTGTTATGTTTGTCCCGGAGGTTCAGGGAGGGGATTCCGCCACCATCTGGCGCTGCCCCAAGACATGGGGCTGGAACTCCAGGACTCCCTTCAGCTCCATCGACCCCACCACCACCAGCCTAGACCCAGCAGCACTATCCGAGCCCCTCTCAAGTCGCAAGGAGAAAGTAGGGGTTCAGGGGCCTGACCCCAACCCCTGGATTAACCCAAGAAACTGTCAAGGCCCCTCCGGTCCCCACTGCTTTTCAGCGTATCTTACCCATGGGCCCCGTCCCAACCCAGCGCCCACCGGGTCAAGGCAGGACAAGCGACCCGAAGGAGGGGGGCCATGGGGGTGGGGAGGGCGGGGCTGGCCTTAGTGACGTTTCAATGTCAAATGCAAATAGAGAGACGTCATGGTCTACCAGGCATACGGCAGCCAATCGGGAGACGGGAATGTGGCCCCGGCGGCCACCGACAGAGACAAACAAAGACCCAGCATCTGGGGGCGCGGGGAGCCCCCTAGCCCAGGCCGGTCGGGACTCACCGGGGTA